CATTGGTTGTGATAGGGTAACCACCAGATCATCTGCAAATGCCTTTATTCTATAATCCTCTTGCCTTATCATTATACCTTTCAAAATTTTTGAGTCCCGTATTGTATTTAGCAAGACTTCCAATGTTAAAATAAATAAAAGTGGGGACAACGGACATCCCTGTCTTGTTCCTTTTTCAATTTTAAACTCTGTCGTCAAACTTCCATTAATAATAATCTGTGCTTTTTGCTCTTGATAAATTGCTGAGATCGCCTGTATAAATTGGTCCCCAAAGCCCATCTTTTTAAAAGTCTTTAGTAGAAAATTCCAATCCACTCTATCAAAGGCCTTCTCCGCATCCAAAAAAACCAGCACTGCAGAAATCTGTTTATTCTTGTCAAGATATTCCAATAAGTCTATTACTTGCCTTACATTGTCCTTCATATATCTGCCCTCAATAAATCCCGCTTGGTCCGCATGAATCACCTTTTGGATTACTGGCATCAACCTGTTGGCTAATACCTTCGCATAAATTTTATAGTCTGTGTTCAAAAGAGATATTGGTCTATAGTTCTCTGGTTTTTTAGGACCAACTTGTTCTTTTGGTATCAAAGATATATAAGCAGTTGTCCAAGATGGGGGTATTTTGCCCCCTTGTTGAATATTGCAAAATAAATCTCTAAGTTGTCCCACCATTTCAGCTTGTAAAGTTTTGTAATACACTGCAGTCAAACCATCCGTGCCAGGAGCTTTGGCTGTTTTTAGCTGTTTAATTGCTGCTGTTATCTCCTCCTCTGTTATAAGATAATTCATTCTTTCCTTTTGTTGATCAGTAATTTTTGTAACTCTCTTATCCTTTAAATATTTTTCTATAAGTCCATTCTGCACCTCTTCTTTGGCATATAGTTTAGTATAATAATCCACAAAAGCTTCTTTAATTAGTTTTTGTTGAAAGATTTCTTTCCCTCCAATATCAATACTATCAATAGTCCGTATACTTTGTTTTTTCCTCAATGTGTAAGCCAACCATCTGCCCGGTTTGTTAGCATTGCAAAATGTATTATGCTTCGCGTATTGTAAACTTGTTGCAACTTGTTCCGCCATAAGCATTTGAAATTGGTCTTTCAAAAGTTTTATAGCACTTCGTATTCTTTCATCTGTTGGGTTTTTAATAAGTAACTGTTCTTTATTCTTTATTTCCATTTCCAACTCAAATCTTTTCTTTTGTCGGAACAGTCTATGTTTAGAATTCATGTAGATGAGTACCCCTCTCATATAAGCTTTACTTGCATCCCAAACAATTTCAATTGGGGTACCTTTATTCAAATTTATTTCAAAAAATTCTTTCAAATGCTTTTTAAGTTCTATTGTATTTTTTTCATATCTAAACAAGTTCTCATTTAATCTCCAAGAACGTCTCTCAACCTTATCCATCTCAATTTCTATCCATACAGGGCTATGGTCAGTCAGAGTTCTTGGACAAATCTTTGTTCTTTTTGTCTTAACAAGTAGATCATTTGACAACAGGATAAAATCAATCCTAGAAAAAGATCTATGTCTATCCGAAAAAAAAGTGTAGTCCAATTCATTTGGATTATGTATTCTCCAAACATCTTTTAATTCCATATCTTCTTTCATATCAAAAAAAGTCTGTGGTAGTCTAATTCTAGACTTTGCCAAGCTCTTTTTATCTAGTTTAGAATCAATTACTCCATTCCAGTCTCCCATAATTAAAATAGATCTATAGTCCCATTGCAATATTTTAGTATGTAACATCTTATAAAAATAATCCTGTTGTTGGTTGGGAGCATAAATTCCAATCAAAAGAATTTGACCATTTGCTGTGAGCAATTCAATTGCTACAAACCTACCATCTTGATCTGCTTCTATAACTTTCGCTGTTAATTTTTTATTTACATAAATAACCACACCATTCTTTTTCTGCGAAGTTGAAGATATATAATGTGCTCCTAGTTTTGAGTTTATCAAATATTTTTGATCTTGAGTTGTGATATGCGTTTCTTGTAAACATATTATATCATTATTAAATTGTTTCAAATATGTAAATAATTTCTTCCTTTTCTGTGCTGAATTCAACCCATTGACATTCCAAGATAGACACTTAAAGGTCATCAGCCTCTTTCTGGAGCACAGAGCAAAATATTTGAAGTTCATCCGAGAGCTTCGATCTCGCTCCTCCCATAGCTCCACTCTCTTGTACGGTACTCTTAACTGCCTTCTTGTCTTGTCTTTCCTGTTGTTGTTGTTGCTTTTGTTTAAGTAGCTTGGATTGGGCTCTAGTTATACGTTGATCTTTAACTTCTGTCAACTGAATCAAATCCAAAATTGGAGAAGAATCCAACAAGGGCTCACTCAGAAAACCTCCTTCTGCACCTTGCACATTTTCTAATTCCTGCTTAGACTGTTCTTTCAATTGCCTCTCTTCACTCTCCTTAATCTCCAAAACTGTAGATGTACGTGGAGATGGTGTTCTTTCCTTAAGAATAGTACTGTAAAAGTGTTGTGCCTTCTCCACGGTATTCAACCGATATCCTTCTCCCTTATATCTAAAAATTATCCCAGCTGGTGCGTCCCACCGGAAGGGTATCTGTAAATTTCTCAATTCCTTAACAAGAAAACCAAATTCTTTTCTAGCTTTCAGCATTTTAGGAGGTAATTCTTTAAAAATTTCAAGTCGTGAGCCCCCCACTTGTACAGAAGTGTGAAAAGATTTTTGCAGGATATCATTTCTAATTTCTCTCTCAGTAAAGTATATGACCACATCTCTAGGCAATTGTCTTTGTCTGGCCACCCAAGAGTTCACTCTGTAAATTTTATCTATTTTATGAAATACCAAATCAGGATTAGCTTGTAAAATCTTAGCCAAGGCTTCAGAGCAAACCTGTCTCAAATCCTGTCTCTCCTCCTCTCGAATTCCCCGAAGCCGTATGGCAAATTCCATCGCCCGGAATTGTATCATAACAATCTCATCTTCAATTCTCTGCATTTTATTGTCAACTTCATCAATTTTATAATCATTGTCTTTCATCTTAACATTAACTTCTGATTTGAATTCTTCAACTTTAAAATCAACTTTCCCAATAAATTCTGCCAGGCCAGACGCCACTTCTGATATTTTTTTGGTCACCTTATTTTGATTCTGTTTCACCATGTCTTTAACTTCATTAATTTCCTGCATAAATTCCTGATGTGATTTTTGAAGTTTATCATCTATCTCCTGTTGACATTTTTGAAATTTGTCATCCAGAGTTTTAGAAATAAATTCTTTTAAATCTCCCACATCAAATTCTTTTTTCTGAGTTTGTAGCTGTTGAGCAGGGGGAAGTTGCGTTTGATGTTTGTGTGTGGGGGATCCCCCCCCTAATGCCTTCCCTTCCTGCTTCTTTGAAGCCATCCTGGCTCGTGATCTAGTTTTTCTAAAGAGGGAGGTTCCTTTTCCTTTCCCTCCAGCACAAAGACTTCTAAAAAAGTCCCCCAGATTTGATCAAACAAGGGTTAAAATAAAGCAAAGTCCAATATTAAAAAGGGAAAAAATTTCCCAGTTATTTCTCTTATAACAAGCAAGGCAGCTTAGTAGCAACTTGGAAACTTTGTAGCAAAACAAAATAACTTCACCAATCCACACTCGCTGGCTCGTTAACTCTGAAGCTAGGCGCCATGTTTTTTCAAAGCACTTTCACTCATTCGCATTTTCTCAGATTGAAAAGTCAACAAAGTGCTAATACTTGCGTTTCCAAATTTCAGGATTCAGGTAGTTTCGCTGTTTATTAAAGCTGGTTCTTTCGCTTTAAGTTTCCTGCAGCCGGCTTGTTCTGCAGAAGCAGAATCGTCCCACGCCGTCCGGAGTCTCAGCAGGTTGGAAGGGAGCCGCGCCTGTTTCCTCCCCAGAAACGATTCCCTGGGGGGTTACAGGGGCTCGACCTGTGCCCTGCTATCTCTCCTCCAACAATCCTCAGGATTTTGAAGTTTTCGAGCCGCTTCTCGATCGCGAAGCGGCTCTACAGGCGGCGGGGCTGGCGGAGCTTCAAAGAGCGCCGCCGTCGCCGAAGACAAGGAAACCGGAAGTCCGTGATAATGTATTGTTTGTGAAATGTATCTGGTAACAAATATGCAATTTAATCCTTTATTTTTTAGGAAGCTTTTGTTTTTACATGACATTTTCTAATACATCATTATGCCATATTACATAATATAATTTTCTGGTACACTGCTTCTAATTTTCATATTTTAAGAAATTATACTTTTTAAAAAAAATTCTATGATAAAACAAATAATAATAAAAAAGGAAATTATACTTTTTCCATAACACAAGATTACTACCAAATACTATTCACTAGGAAATAGCTATCTTGACTTTATAGAAAAAGTGAACTATAGATAATGAAATATTTCTGACTCAAAAAATTGATAATTACAATTCAAAATATTTAGATTTTATTTAAAAATAATTAAGAAAGGAATATTGCCAAACAGTATATTATAATTCTACAACCATGGACAGAGATGTGAAAGTGAATTATAGGTATTCAAATATACAGCACTATGAATTTGATGAAAGAATTTATATATGTGTGCCACTAAAGATAATTTCTTTATCAATTAAATCACATTATATAACTTCAAATGTTGCATACAAAAGTATTTCACATAGAAAAAGTAGAAGTTAATTATTTCAGTGTAACAAAAATACTGATATGTCTATTGAATTAAGATATACTGTAACTTGAAGTGTGCAGATATCAATGCAATACTTTTGTTAAAATTAAAAGACTTCCTTTTAGGTAAATTGGTGTAGGATTATAATTTTAATTTGTTCTCATCTATTTATAATGAGTTTGATAAAGGCCTATATTTAGAGACCCTTTGTGTATTAAGAAAAAAGAGGGAAATCAATTATGTTAATATTCTAGTTATATGCACATTGATGAAAACTATTTTTTTCAACTCAAATATTTAGTTGAAATTAATTTAAAACATTTATTTTTAAAAATATTTTTCAGCTTGAAGAGAAGACTGACAAACCATATTCTGATTTATACACAAGGGTGAGTTATTGAACAGATTGGTTTTCAAATCATTAGTACTCAGTGACTATGCCACTGAAAATATATACCGTATTTTTCGGACTATAAGATGCACTTTCTCCCCCCCAAAAAGTGAGTGAAAATGTCTGTGCATCTTATACAGTGAATACAGCTGGGGATTTGCATACCTGGGGGGAGGGGGGGAGGGAGTTGGTGCGGCGACAGGCGGCAGCAATCCCTGTTGCCTGGAACAGCTGATTAGCAGTATTCCAGGAGGCCGATCCAACCGCCAATCGGCTGCGAAGGCTCCAGCATTCCCCGCTGAGGCAGTAATGCAGAGGGGGGATTTAGCCAGTTCTGCCGAACCGCTTGTTAACTTTGTGTGCAGTTCGGAAAACCGGTTGATCCCACCAATGGCTGGCCTGGGTGTTCTATGTCTGCCTGCCCTGCACAAGTTCATCTAGCAGTTTGCCGAGGACGCCCTACTGCCGCCTGCCACCCTTCACAAGTGCACCCTTCCTGGCCTGTGTGGTGGACTGTGGCACTGAGTGAGCCCAGAAACACACAGAGAGAGGGGTATGAATGGATGACACTTGGCTTCCAGCGCTGGAGAGAACAGGCAAGGGAAGCAGCCAGGTTTCCTCTGCCTTTCATTGGGACATGCGTAGCAAGACAGAGCTCCTCTTAATGTCTCTTTTTCCCCCATCACTAGGCATGGCATGGCTTCTTGCCCCTCCCTTAGCCATCAATGCAATTTGAGGGTGGCAGGTGTAGAGTGGTGTGGTGGTGCAGAGGAGGAAGGGTACCTAACTCCCGGGCTAACTGGCTTCTTCCTGGCAGCTCTTTCTCTGCCTTTCGGCGTTAGACATCAATGACGAGGCTTTTGTGGGCAGAAGAACTGTGCTGCAATGGAGAAATGGGCAACAGATTGGCCAACTTGATGTATGGAGGCCACTTTCTCCTTTTTCCCTACTCATTGTCTTTCCCTCATGCCAGCCTTTCCATTGCAGTGCAGCACCCAGGATCTGTTAGCCAAGGGCAAACAGTTGAAGCAGGGCATGGTGGGGAAGCCATGTGCAAAAACGCATGGGCCAGGAAGGCGAGTTGGCGATTCCAGCTGCCTGGCTCACGGGAGGCTTGCGGAAGCCTTGATGGACACTTTCGCAGTGCCTCCGGCAGCAATGGAAGGCAGAGACACTGGGGGGAGGGAGGGAGGCAATCCCTGTTGCCTGGAGCATCATTATTTAAGCAAGCATCCATCTGGGAAGGTCTTGTCTGCTCACCTGGCACAGTTAAAATCTGAAATCTGACTACCATTCCAATCAGCCATTCCTTTGTTTTTACTTACACACACACACACACACACACACACACACACACACACACCAGTACATGGGGATGTAAGGGGGCACTGTGGAAACAAAATACGGTCCTATGAATAGTGCCTAATGTTCTGTCTCTCTATTTTTTTAAAGTTAAACATTCCATCTTCCATTAAACAGTGTGTCGTCTGGGTACAAATATCTCTGTGCAGTAACAATCAAAATTTACGACAGTATTCATTACATTGATATTGATTCTCTAATCTTATAATAATAATAATGAGCATTACATCTATTCATTTCTCCTTCTTAACATATCTTCAAATAATAATATAATAATAATATTATATGGAATATAATATGGAACTGCTGTGTGGAGGGTGCTCCCATATGTAGAGGGTATCCGAAACTGCTGCACGCATCCTCTCGGCACATGGAGTCAAAGTGGTGCATAAACTGGATCAAACACTGAGAATGAGAGTGATGCGCCCAAAGGAAGCATTATCCAAGGAGGAGACGTCTTCAATAGTTTACTGCATCAACTGTAGTAATTGTGCAAGCAATTACATAGGGGAAACGGCCAAGTGGTTACAGACCAGAGTACACGAACAAGAACTGGATGTCCGATGCAAGGAACAGTGCTCCAGATCTGGACGCATATGAAGGAGCACAACCACACATTTGATTTTCAAGAAGCTGAAGTTATTGCCCATGATAGGACTAAAGGAGGACACCTACTAAAAGAAGCCTGGTTCTCCAATAACAATTCCATCAACAGGCATATTGAACTGCCACCGGCCTACCAGGCTTTGAGACACCAGGAAAGACCCTACAGGATGAGCAGAGAGGGCTTTCCATCAGTGAACAGAGACCCTACCTCTGAGCATGCAGACTCAGCCTGTGAAGGCATAGTTAGTCCTGACCAAACACAGAGCAACCTGGCAGGGCTGTCTCAAACTGTAACAAATAGGATTAATGAGAAACGAACCTGGCCAATCACGAGGTCACGGACAAGGCAGCAATTTGCAATGGCTGACAGGCTAACATCATCCCCCACTGATAAGCAAGCTAGGAGGGAGGAAACAGTAGGAATTAAGCCTCCATCATCCAGCATAATGACACAAAAACAACACAGCTGATTATAAATGGGAGACGGCTGGAAGGGCCTATTACACTCGCAAGGGCCAAATTGATTAATGGCATACAGTATAAAGGCAAAGATCTCTGTAATGGTAGTTTAATACTCTGATGATGTCAACAGATGGCTGACAAGCTTAGTTAAATAAAATTTTAATTATTTTAAAATTTTAAGTTCCAGAGATCGCAGGATGTCTGCTTCTTTCTTTAATAATAATGTTAAATATAATAATCTTAATAGTAATTAGTAAGAATCAACATATTGTTTGCTTCTCTATCTTAACATGTTTTCTATTTTTCACTGATCTCTATTTATTTCTAACTTCTATTTTTATTTTCCAACCATTCATAAAATAGCTCCCGTGTCATATAATATTAAGTTTGTTCTTTCTCCTTTATAGCAAGTGTTAATCTATTCATTTCTTCACATTCTAGTTTAGTTTTATTATGTTTAGTTTTATTAAATTTGTATACTGCCCTACTCCCGAAGAACTCTAATATTCTAATATTCTAATATTTTCCTAATCACATTCACATCAATAGGGATCTCTCTGCTTTTCCAGGTTTGTGCAAATACAATTCTAGCTCCTACGTGTACAATTAAATATGCATTCCATTTACTATAAGTTTCAGGTAAAATCCCAACAAAAATATTTCTGGTTTTAAGTCAGTGTGCTGCTTTATCATCTTTTCCAGCCGCATTTGTATTTTTATCCAATATTTTTTTGCTTCTACTCATGTACACCACTTATGATAATATGACCCAGATATATGGTGGAATTTCCAACATTTAGCTGACTTATCTTTAAACATTTTTACCAACCTTGCCGTGCAAGATGCCATCTGTAAAACATCTTATACATATTTTCTTTATATGCAGTTGACATTGTTAGTTTATAGTTCCTGTCCCACAACTTTTGCCCTTTATCTAATTCTCTTGTGTGACCAAAGTTTTTTTGCCCATGCTATCATTGTCTCCTTCACTTGTTCATCTTCTAGGTTAATGACCAATAAGTAATTATACAGCTTTTTTATCAATCTTCCTTCTGTCCCTGTTAGTATCTTATCGAAGTCTTTTAATTCTTTATAGAAACCATATAACTTAGCATCTTTCTCATAACTAGAATGTATCTGCACTTGTGAATACCATGCCATGTCGATCCCTTGATCACTCAGTTCTTGTTTAGTTTTAAATTCCCCTTTTCATTCAAAATATCTTTATATCTAACAATATTTCCCATGTTAATAGCATTTGTGTGGATCAGTGCTTCCATCATTGAAAGCATCGCTACCAGATGGCCCTGGCTCCATCTCTGCCTCCGACGCAGAGCCCTCGTCTGGGCCTTCCCCTGACTCCAGGACTGACCCATTGTCCTCCCCAGCCTCCTCACTGTCCAACTCCACTGCCAGGTCTGCCGGCTGCTGGCGGACCACAACACTATCCCTCAACTCAGGGCCCTTCCCCCAAGTCTGATGATCTGGATGCGGCCATGATGAGAATTGATCATGGAATGTTTTCACCAATATAGGTGCATGCATGGAGGTTGCATCCTCCCAGGTGAAGTCGTCCGGCCCATATCCCTTCCACTCAATGAGATATTTTTAGCCACTGGGAGTCCCGAATGCTGGTGACCTCGTACTTGGGTGGTTCATCCCCATCACATGGCGCTGGCTGGGGACGGTCAGATTGGCGGAGTGGACAGGCTGGCCATTCTAGGACAAGGAGAAATCTATAGAACACTGGGTGAACATGCATCGATCATGGCAAAGTCAGGCGGTAGGCGACTGGGTTAATAACTGCCTCAACAGGGAACAGACCAAGGTACTGGTGCTCTAGCTTCCTGACTGGCCGATCTGATGGAAGTTGCCTGGTGGACAACCAGACCCGATCCCCCACAGCCAATTGTGGCGTCGCCCGCTGAGCTTGGTCTGTGACTCTATTATAGTCCTCCTTGGCTTTCTCTAGATACCGTCACACCAACTGACGGATGGCCTGCAACTCGGACAGATAGTCATTAGCCGCTGGTACTGGGGAATTGAGTTGTGTGAGGGGAAAGAACCGAGAATGATATCCTACATTAGCCAGGAAAGGGGTTGTTTGTGTGGAGGTATGTTGTGAGTTGTTGAACACGAACTCTGCTACTGCCAAATAATCCAACCAATTGTCTTGTTCCTGGTTCATGAAGCAGCGCAGGCATTGCTCCAGAATGCCGACGTCTGTTTCTGGATAATATGCCAATTATCTGGAAACCGATGGCAGATTTTTACATCCAAGGCCTTCATCAGCCCTTTCCAAAACTGGGCTGTAAACTGAGCCCCTTGGTCCAATACAACCCTATCTGGTAGGCTGTACAGCTGGAAAATGTGTTGGATAAACATGCAGGCAGTTCCTCGTGAAACGTCCATGGGGAGACAGGCCCTACCTCTTCCTTCCGTTGCTCCACATAAGCATCGTGCCCGTAAGTCCACTGGTTCCTGAATTGCGGAGAAAGACTCTACAGGCAACACTGTCTGGAGTAGAAGCTGGTCTTCGATGTAGGAATATTCCAGTTTCCGTGAGAG